AAGCCGGGGACAGGGTGGAGGGGGGGTGGGGTGGGGGGTGCCAATGGGGTAAAAAGGTAAAATATCTGTAACAAAAAAATAAATAAAAAATAAAGCAAAAAAACCCAAAAAAACAAGAGGTCTGATCTCTGCACTAAGCATTGCATCAACAGGAAAACTGATCTGTGTGAAGCTCGGCTCCTCCTTAATTTAAACCACACAGCTCCGCCTCTGGGTGCCAGAGGGGCTGCGGGCTGGGCTGGGCAGCCCTCTTTGGCCAGAAACAGTCCTGGGGAGCTTCATGTCCCCTGAAGTCCTTACATTGGATGTTGCACAATATTCCAGAGCAGTTCCAAGTTCCTGGCCTTGAACCTAAGGACGATCTTCTAAACATCTCAGGGTAATCTTCCCCAATAGACCCTTCACTACCCCTAGCTACCAGGTGGAAGTTGCATTGTTAACAGCTTCTGAAGACAGAAAGACCGGATAACTCCTCATGGCCTGGACACTGTTCCTCGTGTCAGTTTCCAGGGCTTCTTGTGTGCGTAGATTACAGATCTGGACAACATGACTTAGGCAGGGTCTTTGCAGGTGAGAACTTGAATCTGGGCCCCCACAGCCACTTTACTCAGTTTAATTCGCCTGGAGGCGAAGGTGGAGGTGGGCAGAGGGTGGGGCGGCTGTGGGGACCGTCAGGAAGAGTGCGAGCTTCACTCGAAGGCTGCAGCAGCGCCACAGAGCCCGGTCCCTGTCTCAGTGTGACCTGGGCCCCTCGGCCAGGAGGCGAGTGACAAGCAGCTGGAGCCTTCGTCACCTTTCACCTCCAGACACGTCTGGATTTGGAGACTCGTCTGATTCAGGTTTAGTGGGGCCTGAGAAACTTGTACATTTTGGGGACATTATTAAAGAAAAAAATTTAAAAAAATCTCTTACGAAATCTTTATGTACCACAGAACTCACTGCTAGGGATTTGGGAAGGGCCTGTGTAAACGAGGGGCCTAGGGCTTCGGCTTCGTTCGTTAGCTTTTCAAGGGAGCCTTCTGCTTGGGGGCACGACCAGCTCTCCTGCCCAGCGCCAGAGGACATGCACCAGGTGGGGTCAGGATGATGGGAAAGGATTAGGAAAAGGCAGGTGTAACGGACTAAGACGGAAGGTTCTGGGCCTGATTTGACTGGCCTTTGTGTGGTGCACCGACCTGGTGAGCCGAGCGTCGGCTGAAGCCACGCTTTCTCCGTCAGGTGCAAGCCCATTGGGGGAGGCCCCATCTTCTCTGTGTTCACCCAAAGGCCTGTCCAAGAAAGGGTGTCAGGGTACGTCTGACGAATGAATGGCTGGATGGCTGTGAATGAGCGAATGTGTGAATAAATTCACACTCTGGTTTTAGATGGCGGGTCATTGTTGTTTACCTTCCCCAGAGGACTCTGACAGTGTGTTCAGCTACGTGCAGAAAGACTCGGTCTACATTTATTAGTGAAGATGGATGCCTAGGTTCTGCTGGGGGACTACTAGTCACCCCTATTATTGGATGCCCAAGACCACTCCAGGCATAATTAAGAACATCAGACTATATTACAAGGCACATCCTTTAAGGGGACAGGTGTTTTCTGAGCATTGCAGAGGGATGTTCTCACGTGCCCAGAGCGGGCTAGACGTACTGCCATGTGACCTTCTTCTTCACTTCCTCCTCGGGCTCACGGTACCTTAAAGTGACCTTCCAAATGCTTTCTTTCCTGGCAAATCCACTGAAAATGGTAGGCCCTACATGAGGACAGCCTATCAGAATCCACGCTGAAACCAAAGCTGAGTCTGCTTTCTCTCTTGAGGAAACACAGTGCCCTGCATGCGGCGAACTCTCACCCGAGACCGCCGACTCTCTGGGGGAGCCCGCGGCGCAGTGTAGAACCAGAATCAGTGGCCAGAGGGGTGTCGCCCATGTGTTTGGCTTGTTTTGAACTGGATGGGGTTAGGTTTGCGTGAGGGACATGTTAGACATGCTGGGGTTGGCCTGGGGTAGGAAGGGCATGGTTCTGACTTAATGTTTGTTCTCATGACCTTGGGGGTAAATCTGAAGTAGTGTCATGTGGAGGAGAGACTCTAAATTCCAAGTGGGGAAGCTTGGGTTCAAGTTTCAATTTCATCTCTAATTGGAATTGAAATTGACAGCAAGAAACCCAACCTCCTCATCTCTCTCTCTCTCTCTCCCCCCCCCCCCTTCTCTCTGCAAAAGAGACCATCTCCCTATCGTACTTTGCCTGGCTAGGAGTCTCAAAACATGGCCCAGGAAAGGTCTTAGAAAGGCACAGAGTGACTTCCGAGTTGAGTCGCTACGATTCCATTACATAACCAAATAGCATTGCAATCTTGTCATGTGAAAGCTAAGAATACAGTTTTTAGTGGAAAATTTGATGTTCTTTCCACCATGTGAAGGCATATCATCACTATGAACTTGTAATAAAAATAGGAAGTAACCCAATCTCTCTGTTGCTCAGATTCATTTCAATGTGAAAGTGTTTAAAACAAAAGTTCAATCAACTTTATATGCAGAAGCCTATTTTGGTCCACGAAGACTCTGACACTTAAGGTGGAACAGATAAACCACTAACTGAGCGATTGGATGGCCAGCAGATGACATGGATGCTCAATGTGGAAGACAGTGGGTGTCATCCTCTGGACATTGTAGTCATAGGTATATAGGTGTCCTGAAATATTGGCATGCTGGTCTTTTTAAAGATAGAAGTAGCTGACTGGCATTCCCTGAATTAAACCAAGAATGTCAACCCCATTAGAGTGATGGAGTTATTCTTTTCCTTCCGGAGGGTGAAAACGCTTTAGAACAGGGCCAGAGAGCAAATGTTTTAGGTTTTGTGGACCATCTGCTTTCTGCTGCAAGAGCTCAACACTGACCTCTTCGTGCAAAAGTGCCCACAGACAAGGAGAAGACGGGTCCGGCTGTGTGTCAGCCTTCTTACGAAGCCGGCAGGGGCCCGACTCAGCTCGAGGCCACAGCCTGCCTACTCCCTTGGTTAGCATGTCACAAGGACACCACCAAATCTGGGCCTATTCATGTCTCCCGGCCCCCGCACCATGCTGTTGGCCTTGGTTTTCTTTTTCTCATGTTTACCCGAAGACATTTTTGCATTTATCTTCAGACAGAGCAGGAGGGAGAGAGGGAGGAAGAGAGAACGAGAAACATCGATGTGAGAGAGACACATCGACTGGCTGCCACCCGCACAACCCCAACCGGGGCCGGGGACAGACTGCAAAGGAGGTATGTGCCCTTAGCGGGAACCCAACCAGGGACTCTCGGGTCCACAGGCCGACGCTCTGACCGCTGAGCCAAACCGGCCAGGGCTGTTGGCCTCAGTTTTGAACACAGCCCCAATTCTACAGCTAAGCAACTGTAGGTGCCAAAGCCTAGAAAAGCCATCAGGTGTCTGCCCAAGTGGCCAGCTCACTGGGGCAGACACTGCGTATTCCAATAGAGCTACCTAACACCCTGCCCTTTCCTCAAAGTATTCTTAGTAAAATACAGCATCACAGCATCGTTTAAAATGCAGCATCCAGGTCCGAAGGGCAGGGCAGTCTCCAGAGCACAAGTACGACGTTCCCGTAGGGAAGAACGGAGCACGCTCTCCAGCCCCTGGGAAAGCTTTGCGAACATGCAGCCCAGCGCCGACTTCCTATTCACAAGTGATCAAATTTGCCTTTTGCTTTCCCATAATATAAGTCAATTCATTGCCAAGTTCATGGCTGTTCTAAGTCCAAGTCCAGCTTGCCCTCCTTACGACTCCCTCTCACTCCCGCAGGTCTGGGGTAGCAGGACGCTCGGTCGGAGGCCTGCAGGGGGCGGGTTTCACTGGACCTCATTTGCCTGCACCTTAGTAAACAATAGAGTGAAACAACGCTTTCATTCCTAGTACTACTAGAAATGTAGATTTTGGAACACTTTCTTGGGTTTACAGTGGAGTCACACAGACCTGAGCTCAGGAATGCTTTTGTTCTTGGCCATGTTACTTAACATTTTTGAGATCCTGAACCTCAGTTTCTCCGTCTAAGAAAGCAGGTTAATATCTACCTCGTAGGATTGATCCATAGTGAGTAGAAAACAGGAGATATTCAACAAATGATAGCTTCTGAAACTTTCCATATCCCCCTAAGAGGACATGGAAACATGTCAATACACTATGTCCAACTTGCTTCCAAAATCCTGAGAGAAGTTTGCTGTTTGATACTCACATGTTTGCCCAGGAGCTGCCCGGGAGTGTAACAGAAGTGTGGACACGCCCAGAAGGCGTGTAGGGGGAGGTCTCCATGCAGGAAAGGCCAATGGTAAGAAAACTGATTGAACAGAAAGAAACCACAATCCCCAGAGTATTCAGGGTCAGCAACTTCATTTGGTTTATTTTCTTTTGGAAAAGGGAACCTCCAGGTTTGGTTTAAGTAAGTGGCACATAAGCTTCTTGGGAGCAGAGACCTCTTCCATTCTATACACAGTCCCTGGAACTGCTCTCGGCACTTGGTGTCAATAAATACTTCTTCTCTCAACTGATAACTGGGCATACTTAGATGGGATCTGCTTTCGTGTTAACCATGAGAAGTTTCTGGAGCTCAGCGTAAGGAAGGGGCAGGGATTCGGAGGAGAAGGAGCTCTGACATTGGACAAGGCTGGCGTCACCTGCAGAGTACTACCTTCAAGTATGCGATCTATGAAGTGATCGTGCAAAGTCCCCACTGTGAAAACTGACCTGAAACAGGTCGGGAGAAAAATCCGACCCCTATTCTACGCCAGGTCCTGGCAGATGCTGTACCTTGAGGTCATCCCAACAAGATTCCTTTCATTTCATTTTTTTTCTATAAAGAAAAATCCCACTGTTGCTCCTAACTTGCGGCGTGTCGGCATGGCGCTGGGCACGCCGTGGTGAGTAGGAGTTATGCTTCCCCAGAGGTCTCTCCGTGCCCCCGTGCCCTTCCACAGTGACGAGGGAGGGAAGGGCAGCCTCATGCCCAGTGCTTCACGTACCTGAGAACATCATCATGTGCTGGAAGTTCCAGGGGACCTTCTGCTTTCGGCCCAGGTTCAGGAGGAAGGAGAGCGGGTATATGTTGCAGGCTCTGGCAACCAAGATTGCTATCTGCAGACAAACACGGGACACATTGAGGAAAACCACGCTGCAGTCAGGGGGCCAGGCCTTGAGCTTTAACTACGATGACCTCCAGTTTCTCTGTGTTATGACCCAGAATCAGGGACAAACATGTCAATGCACGTATGTCCAGCTCGCTTCCAAAATCCATCTTTCAATGCCTATTCCTTTTCAGAAATAATAGAGAACAAATTTCTTTGAATATATATTTTGTTTACAATTGTTAACCCCATGCCATTTCGATCTCTGTAAATTTTCTCATCACATTTACATTGCTGATGACTGACTTCGTGCTCAATTCTGTTGCAAAACAGGAGGTAGCGAGCGTGCGGGGCCGTGGCGTTCCCTTCTGAGCAGTGCTTTAGAAGGACAAATGCACTTTGGCTCCTGAGTACCAGCTCATTTTCCATCAGTTTATACGCCCTGTATCTAGCAAGCTTCATTTATTGTTTTGTTTTGGTGGATCTAATTTGGAGAGGAATTGCCTATCTAAATGTGTGATGCAATGAACACTCTAAGAGGCATCTTACTAAATCCACACTTTACGAGTGAAAATCTATGACAATATTGCTGGCAGTCATCTCTCCCCATTGTCATCTTGGACCCCTTCCCTGATAGTCCCCTTGCTCCAGTTTGCCCTCAGATCAAATGGAGTTATTTGGGAAGAGGAGCTTTCTTCTAAGAGCTGAGTTTTGGATGACATTGGAGGGTTTGGCCGTGTGCTCAGAGAAGAGGGACCAGGGGCAGGTGCTTGGTTAGAACAGGGCTTTGACAAAGGGGTCGGCTCTCTTGGCTGGAAGGTCATCTGCCCGTGATCTGAGGGGGCATTTGTCTATTTTCCAAGTGGGAGAAGGACAACAGCTGCTGACTGTCCTTGAAGACACCTCAGTGCCTCGGTATCCTTTTGTTCAGATGTCCTTGCCCAGTGGGAAGCTACACAGCAGGCCTAGAGCGAGAGAGTTCCTCAGCTGTAAAAGCCAGGGCTAGGTTTTTCTGTGTTTGTTTATATGAACGTGTTACCTTATTACAATAAACTTAGATGGGCACTTAAGATATTGAAAACATATCCATCATCCTAATTTCATTTGGTCTTTACTCTGAATATCCTATTTTCAAAGTCCTTAGTGAAAAGATCTCACCATCTTGTTATGAAAATATTTCTAAAGCTTAATAATCTTGGCTGTCTTCTGATCATGTTAATGCAGATTGAATATATTTCTCTGTGAAGAACAGGATGACACTTTTATGTAAATGATTCATAATTTTAAACATACTTTGAATATTTTAAAAAGTCACTCTCCTTTAGCCTGCCCCCCAGCATTCCCCAAGGTTCTTATGCTGAGCCACAAGCATTTTTAAAGGCCCTCATTTCTGATGATGCTCTTCTCCCCCAACTAACAGTTACATATCTGCCTTAAATTTAAGCCCTGTAGAAAACCTGAGGAAATTATGTAACAATTTAACAGAATAATCCAGCCAAAGTAGGTAGTTTGTTCTCTCTCATCACCCCAGGTTCTGTATTTCAAAGGATACAAGGGCTCCAAGTATAAACAGAGCATTAAAGAGATGATTCTGGAATGTGAACAGCGCCAGACCCATGTAGCAGAAGATGACGTTCTCAGCCAAGAAATTCATGAATTCAAACAACTGAAAACAAAACAGAAACCAAAATCATTAATTATGACTCAGCTTTGAATCCACTTCATGACCTGTAACTGTATTTGGAGGCGGATGGTTCTCCTTTATCTGGGAAGGACCTGGGAAGGCCATCCCTTTGGCTTGTGGAGGGGCACAGGGAACCCTGGGGTATCCTCTGTGGAGCAATCCCTACTAGGGTGATGAATGCCCCTTACAGAAATGTAAACTGCGTGATGAGCCTAAGGTGTGCTCTGGCAAAGCATGCAAAGGTAGTTTAGACCCTCTGCACATCACCCAGTAGGTGCACTTGAATTCCCAGAACCTGAAAAACAAACTTCAGCTAAATTATTCTCCCCAGGCAGGCAGGAAGGACAAACTTGGAAAACTTGAAAACTAGGAATAAGGATAAATGTCGATAATACTTCAACATTAGAACGATCAGTATATTTTAAACTTCAGACAATGAGCCTCATTAAGTTGACTGATGTAGTTATATCCATTAAACGCCTACAGTTTCTAGCTGGTAAAAAGAAGGTGATTAATCCCAGGGATCAGTTTATACAGCTAGAACACAGTAGACATGTCAAATTCCGTCAGAGGAATGGGGTAATAACGTCGATGCCGACGGATGCTCCAAAAACTATTCTTAGACCATTAGCTAAACAATTTAAGTTGAACATGAAAAATGTTCTCCAACTTCCAGATTAAGAGCAAAAAGGGAATGTGTCCAGGGCTACCACAGAGGCCGATCTGGAAGAGACTCTAGTTTACATTGCAGACTTTTCACTTGGAAGTTCCTAAAACTTCCCTCTCAGACCTAAGCGCCTCTGGAAGTATTTCTCTCAGATCGTTAAGAACTCTTTTTCCCCAGGTAATGTGTTTACAGCCTTACGAATAATGCTCGCTACCTGTTTATGACAGTTGGCAGCAAGGAAAACAACCAGTGACAGAGAGAGTGGACCAAGCAGACACAGCTCTCTGGGCACAGATGGGCTTTCTGCAGCGGCCGTGTCCCCGGGGTCCTGGGCGTGCGCCCTACATCCCGGCACAGCTCGTCCCGACACTGCCACCTGATGACACAGACAGCTCGCAAACATGGGGAAATACAGGCATGGGAACACACTTCCCCCTCATTAAATCTTTACTTTTAAAAAAAGTGAGATTTGGCTGTTTTCATCGGCCTGGGTGGTCCTGGAGTAATACAGTCAGGTGGCTTAAACAACCCAGGGCTATTTGTCACAGCTTGGAGTCTAAGATCAAGGTGCAGGATGAGGTGAGGGCCCTCTTCCTGGTTTGCAAACAGCAGCCTCCTGCCTGGGTCCTTGGATGGCCGAAGACATCACCTCCCTTATGCCTGTTCTCATAAGAGGAGGTTTGATTTATGGGTTTGAGAGAGAAACACTGATTTGTTGTTCCACTTACTTATGCATTCATTGGTTGATTCGTGTATGTGCCCCAGCTGGGGGTCGAACCTACAACCGTGGTGTATTGGGATGACACTCTATAAACATTTGAACGACTGGGTCAGGTCACTCAGAAAAGAGTTTAAGTCATATATTGATGGTTTACAATTTAAGAAGAGACTATTACTAGCACCGAGGCTCACTCTTGTTCCCTTCCCGCTTGTACCTTCACGCCCAATACAACTTCCTGCGACCAGCCCTTCATCATCCCAAGCTAGCGTTCCCTGCTTTCGGTTTTACATGAATGGAATCGGACAATAGGTACTAATTCCCATTTGTCATCCTTTGCTCAGCATTGATGGTGAGATTCTTCACGTTGCACGTAGAAGTGGCTTATTTTGGGGTATGTGAACGTATCACAGTCTATCTAATAGACATCTGGGCTGTGTCCAGCGTGGGGCTGCGATGAATTCCCTGCTGTGAATGCACGTTCGCATTTCTACGGAGGGGCTGCAGCACCCAGCAGGCTCCTGGGGCGGGGCCATCTGCACTCTCCGCAGCAGTCCTGGCTGATTCACATGCTGGTCCACACTCGTCTGACTGCGGGTTTTCAAACCCAGCCTCTTGATGTTGCCGTTTGAACTTAGGAATCAGTCTGTCCACTTGCAAAACAATCAACTCCTGGCATTTTAGTTGGAATTGCATTGAATATACAGATGAATGTGGACAGAATACACATCTTCATAGTACCCTTGAACATCATATATTCTTGTAACTATTTTGATCTTCTTTCGCTCAGTAACTTCTTTTATAAAGATGTGCACATCTTTTGTGGGACTTATTCTTAGATATGTGATGTGTTGGGTGGCTGTCGTAAACGGCGCCCTTTTCCAAGTTCCCTTTCGGGTTGTTTGTTGCTAGATACACGTGTAAAATTGATTTTTAAAATTAATCTTGTATTCAGGGCCTTACTAAATATATTGAGTAATTCTTAGAGTTTACTGATAGGTTGTTTTGGATTTCCACAATCATGTTGTTTCGCAATAAGGATAGTTTTGTTTTTTCCTTTCCAGTCTTACATGTTTGCCTCTCACACTGGTTACAGCCAGTGCAGGAGGGGGGTGCTTATGGGGCTTCTTCATCTCACTCCCAGGCTCATAGGGAACATTGCAGTGTTTCTCTGTTACATTCGTAGACACTCTTTAACAGATTAACACCAAACCTTGTATTCCTTTTTAAAAAAAGTAAATTTAATTTTCTAATATTGTCTTTAGTATTTTTATGTCTATCTGACAAAAGACTGGCTTATAACTCTCCTTTCTTCTCTAGTCTTTACCAGGTTGTATTGTTAAAGTTCCTGACATTTCACAAAGTAGGTTCCTATTCTCTTCCTCAAATGTGTAGAAGAATTCTGGCCCCGGCTGGGTCGCTCAGTTGGTTAGATCATCCTCCCAATACGTCAAGGTTGCAGGTTTAATGCCCTATCAGGGCACATACTAGAATCGACCAATGAATGCGTGAATAAGTGGAACAACACATTGATGTTTCTTGCTTTCTCTAAAATCAATAAAAATATTTTATAAGAATTCTGGGCTTGGAGTTCTCTTTATAGAAATATTCTTAACTACAGATACAGTTATTCTAACAGATATAGCATTAGTCAGGTTTTCTATTCATTTCTGTATTTGTCTTAGACAGTGTGTTTTTTTTTTTTTTTTTTTTTGGTACAGATAGAGTGGGAGGGAGAGAGAGTGAGAAACATCGACGTGAAGGGACACATCGAGTGGCCGCCACCCGCACGACCAACCAGGGCCGGGGACAAACTGCAAGCGAAGTACGTGCCCTTAGCGGGAACCGAACCCGGGTCTCTCCGGACCGCAGGCCGACGCTCTAACCGCTGAGCCAAACCGGCCAGGGCTTAGACAGTGTGCTTTGTAATTCCATCTCCATTTCCATGTTTACTGGCATACAGAGTTCAGAAGATCCTCAACATTTTTGTGTCTCTATTTATATCCCCCATCCATAATATTGGTAATTCATGTTTTCTTTTTGATAAATCTTGTTGGGGAGTTATTAATTTTATAAGTGCTTCCAAGAAGCCACTTTGGCATTGTTGATTTTTCTGTGTTGTACTCTTTTTCTTCTTATTTCATACATTTGTTTATTATCTTTACTTGTTCTTGACTTCAGCATACTTTAACTTCAATTTGCTTTAATTTATTATCTTGGTCCTTCAAGTCCTTGGGTGCCATGGTTGCTTTGCCAATTCCTTTGAACACCTGCTTCTCCGTACTTTATCTGTATTTCCTAGTTGCTTCTAAGAGAGAATGGTTCTGATGTCAGCTGACCCTCCTGCTGACTCTTCTCACCTGTTTATTCTGCGGGTGAACAGTCACTTTCGTCAGTTTCCCACCCAGAGCTTTATGTATTTTATTTTGTAACACACAATGAATATCAATTTAGAGAGAAATAAGAATTTTATAAAATCATTGGGGGAAAAGATAAATTATTTAGAAAGATTACAGGAATAGTTGGCTAATTTGGGGAAAAAAATAACCAAAACTAAAGATAGATTCCTAACTCATTCCTGATATCCAAATAAACTCCAGAAGAATCAAGAGTGAAAATGAAAAAAGTAAAACAGCATAATTTTGTATATAATTTTCAATCAGGAAATTTAAAAGAGTAGTTTGTATTAGCAAAAACCTAGAAACAAATATCTATAAGAAATAGTTAAATAAACATGATGCAATCATATAATAAAATACATTTTACAGAATTCTATATGTATTGATATAGAAAGCTATCTAGTATCTATTGTTAAATAATAAAAAGTAAGTTAAAGAAACAAATATTTGTGTATGCATGAATCCATGAAATGTAATAACATATAGATAACGTTCACTTTATGGACATTTGGCATTTGTATTGTTATTTATTTATTTATTTGTACTATGAACCTGTATTACTTTCATAGTTAAATAATACTAGATTGAATTAAAACAAAAATTTTGAAGGAGAATAAAAAATTTTCAAATGTTTTTTCCCTTTGGCCTTGCTCAAACGGCAGCTCATCTTTTTACTTTAAGGAAGTTATACTTATGTATTTTTTTTAATCCTCACCCGAGGATATTTTTCAATATTTTGTTAAGATAGAGTGGGAGGGAGGGAGAGAGAGAGAAACCTCGATGTGAAAAGGACACATCGAGTGGTCGCCACCCACACGACCCAACCAGGGCCGGGGACAAACTGCAACCGAGGTACGTGCCCTTAGCGGGAACCGAACCCGGGTCTCTCAGGACCGCAGGCCGACGCTCTAACCGCTGAGCCAAATCGGCCAGGGCTATACATATGTATTTCTAATATTTTTCTTATTTTCCTTTTTTTGTGTGTGTAATTTTTTTTTTTTTTTTTATCCTCACCCAAGGACATTTTTCCATTTTTTGTTCAGATAGAGCGGGAGGGAGAGAGAGGAAGAGAAAGAGAGAGAGAGAGAGAGAGAGAAACATCGATGTGAAGGGACACATCGAGTGGCTGCCACCCGCACGACCAACCAGGGCCGGGGACAAACTGCAACCGAGGTACACGTGCCCTTAGCGGGAACCG